TGTTTTGGTTTTGTTTTGTTTTGTTCTTTATTTTGGGGTTGTGTTTTTTGGTTTGGTTTTGGTGTGGGTAGCTTTTTTGTTTGTTTTTTTGACTGCTGCACTTTGAAAGCCAACCTGTCTGAAGGAAAATTTTATGTTGCTTAGAGGTACTTCAGCCAATTACAAGCCCAGTAGCAGACATTTGCAGGTAGCAGAGGCTAAGGCTTAACAGCCTAATTGCTACTAACTACATGTAATAGATAAGAAGAGCTGTCATTTAATTAAAAAGGAAACATTTCTCAGAGTTTTTCTTCTCCACAATACACACAGAAGATAAGTTGGTGAATTGTTCAGCAGTTTAATTTTAGCTCAGAGTGGATTGTATGACCTACATTGTCGTTTAATTTTTCACAATGTTTGCTGTGTCATATGGTTAACCTGGTAGGACCTGTTTTTAACTGTTCTGTTCCTGCAGTCCTTTTAAAATGTGCAATGTGAAATCTGTAACCTCTTAAACATCTCAAGCTGTTTGTAATTTAGGCTTTGGAAACATCTCACCACGCACACAAGGTGGAAAGATATTCTGTATCATCTATGCCTTATTGGGAATTCCTCTGTTTGGTTTTCTGTTGGCTGGTGTTGGAGACCAACTAGGGACAATCTTCGGAAAAGGAATTGCCAAAGTAGAAGATACCTTTGTTGTGAGTATGCAGACTGCCTCATTTGTTTTTCATACCGCTTGTTATTCTGAATTTAACCATTGAAATTAAAAGTCTGAAAAACAGGGTATAGCTCATCATTGCAACCAGATGTATAGCAAAAGGTAGGAAGGACTTGGCGTAGTCTGAACTTGTTATTGTACACTTTTAATTGAGTGAAAAGGATGAAGCCCAACATTTCCTACAATGATTATGGCTAGGAAGAGGAACAAGATCTAAAGTATTTTATTTTCGCTTTGCCACTGTACTCCTAAGCTTACTGTGATCCTTCACCTTAAAGGATTTTATACAGATTGTGATAACAAATCAGTGACTCGAGATTTAAGAGGAGAGCTGTAAGGGTAACATGGAAATTGTAACTATTGATGTGAATTGATTCACAGATGATGTTTGGTCTCTGAGTCTTAAAATCACAATTCTTGAAATCTCTGCTTAGATGCCACCATACCCGAGGAATGCTTACAATCTGTAAGCACCTACATTCCCAGATTTATGGATCTGTAGGTGACTAAAGCTTTGGTCATTCACAGCAGCAAGATAGGATAAAAGATATAGTGCCTATTGGTGCTCCCCTGACATTGGATTATACTTTGTGTGCTCGTCACTAGGCTGTATTCACAGTTTAAGGCATTTTCAGCCTCTACTGCTAAACCACTTAGCACGGCTTAGGGGATCATGCCTTATATTTTATTTGGCTACAAGTCTTTAATTATTCAAGTGAAGTAGCAGAGCTTCAGTAGAAGAAGAGACCTGTCAAACAGGCTAGAAGCTTGTTTGTTGATACTGATCAAATTCTGGTTCTTAACAACCAAATGCCTTGAATTCAGAATCTGTTTCGCACATTAAAAATTACATTGATGTTGCATTTTAATAATTGAGATTTTTGAAGTCGTGAATACTTTGTAACCAACTTGACTTTGTAACTTTGTTTGCATCAGCACCACAAGTGCTGGAAGGACTTTTTTTCTGCAACAAGCCCTAACATTTCATGGAGGACACCTTTTCTATATAGAAAGGGTCTGACATGGCTTTATTTTTGAAGCAAAGCAAGCTGGGCCTGTGCTGAGTAACCTTATGCAATACATAAACACAAGCCTGAAAGGTTTTTTTAGAAAAGGCATGTATTTTTGGCTTTGAACTGTAACTTCAGGTCCAGACAAGGTACTGGTGAATAGCATAGATTTCCACTGAGGCTTATCTAAAAAAGGCAAGAACATTCCATGAGAACATTTTATCATTTCTGGTATTTTGTAACTGATTTTATTTTATTTTTTCTTAAAAGTATAGATCTGAAATCAATTTGTGTGTCTCTATTGCTCATACGGATAATGGTTTTCCTTTTTTTTCTTTTTCCTAATGGATGTATCCCTACAACAAGAATGCCCCAACATAAAAAGCAATATCTGGCCTACTTTTGACAATATCTGAAAGAAAACACTGGTCTGTGTGTTGCAGTCCTTTATTCTGTTTATTAGTTCTCCTAAAAAACTTTAAGGTGCTGATGTGTCAGAGCAGGTAATTTCATGTTGCCATAACCCAAACTGCTACTGTGATTTGGGTTACAGTAGCTTGACCTTGGTCATGCTGACTGTAAAATACAGTTTCCATTAAAACTTAAAATCAAGAAAACATGCATCTTCAACAATCTGATTTCATTTCTGCCCTATTTTTGTGGAAATTTCTGGGTTTATATATTCCCTTCTTTTAAGCTGAACCAATGTGCAGTGGCTGGATGTAAAACTTTTTTTGGTAAAACGTTAAATTGGCTGGGCATGTCAAATGGGACTTTGCAGTAGTCTGTTCAAGCTTTGGTGCAGTAACTGACACAACACCTAAACAACTTACCTTATTAAATCTACAGATTATCTCAGCCTGAGGAGAGAACCAGAAGACAGAATTAGCATTCAAAATTATCTTAATAAATTCTGAAAAGAAGTCTGAATAGATAGGTTTAAATTCAAGAAGGACAAATTCAAAGTGCTATAGGAAGGAATAATAAAATATTCAATTATATGTCCATGACAGCTGTATAGGTGTGATTTTATGGAAACTTTCTGCAGACCCAAGGAGCTCATATGGGTTAATGTCTTATTGCTGTGGAAAAACCTACATCACAGTTGAAAGTATAAATAGGAAAGTAAAAATAATAATAGGCAAAACATAAGAAAAGATCCTTCCTTTATTTTGTGCTATTTTTTTCATGTCTAGTTTTGAGTACAGCACTTAGTGAGACATGGGATAGTTTGCTCGTGCCAAGTAATAATAAAAAGAATGGGAAGGGGAAGAAAAACAAAGAAATTAATTTATTTGGACTAAAGAACATATGACTGAAAGAAAACACCTGTGAAAGATTGCTGGAAAGAGAAAACTAGCAATCCTTTGATTTGCCTTGGATAAGATCATAAATAATATACTTAACCTGAAGGAGCTGAGATGCAGGTTATGCATTAGGAAAACCTCAGATGACAAGAGCAATTAAGCACAATCACATGTTCTCTGGCCAGTAATGTGCTTGCAGTGGCTTAGGTGGGGTTGTTTTTGTTTGGAAAAGATGATTTCTTACATCGCTTCCAGTTCTGTTTTCCATGGTTGTGTTTAGCTGATTACTTGACTAGAGAGAACTGTATGGTTTAAATTCACCTTATTTGTTTGTTTATTTGTGGATGCTCAGAAGCAGAGATGTTACAGGTGCATGCACTCACTACTTGAAGCTCACTAGAAAATCTCGATCCCCCTCAAAACTTTAGCATGATCAGCTGTTAATAATAATTAATGCTATACATGCCACTCACCCAGAACACAAATGTGACCACCATGAAGAGTTCAGACCTGCTCTGTATTCACTGCTGTCAAATGTTTCCTAGGACAGTCATGTTTGCTTTGAAACCCCAGTAAAAATAAAATCCTGCTTGAATTTCCCTGTTTGAGAGATATAACGCACTGTCTTCTAGAGCAATGTAGTGAACACCAGGGATGATGGACAGGTGTTTATGTGCAGTTGTATTAAACTTGGATTTCTTCTCTTTCCCCTTCCCTTTCCAGAAATGGAATGTGAGTCAGACAAAGATTCGCATAATTTCAACAATAATATTCATACTATTTGGCTGCGTGCTGTTTGTTGCTCTTCCTGCAGTTATATTCAAGCACATAGAAGGCTGGAACACACTAGATGCAATTTACTTTGTGGTTATCACTTTAACTACCATCGGATTTGGTGACTATGTTGCAGGTAAGATTTTCTCGTAACGTTTTATCTTATAATATTTTGCACAGTGATAATTATGCTGCATTTTTTGTCTTATTTTTGGGAAAAATAAGGCACCTCTCTCTTGTGGTGCCTGTCTCCCAGTTTTACCCTTTATCATTCTTGTGCCAGTGCACGTAACAAGGCCTACCCTCATTTTGGTTGATGTGGCAGCCTAGAGGTGGGAGGTGGGACAATGAAAGGCACAGTGCCTGTTTCTGCCTACTGCGTTCATTCTCCTCCTATACTGTTAGAAAAAAACCTAATTTTTAGCTAGGTTTTTTTATTATTATTATTTTGTTTTGTTCTTAGAGATTACAAAGTGCAAGAATAAATACAGTGTTTTAAGATGAATAACTTTTCAGCTGGACTTGCTAAAAATGTCTCACTCTGTAAAGTTATATGATTTAGTTTTTGTGTGCCTCTCTTACTTTCAAAATGTTCCAGAAATCTGTTTCTGCAACTGAAGTGTAATGCTGTTGGATCCTGCTTTTGTTTTTTTTTTTTTTTGTCAGTATGCATTTGTCCATGTATGTTTTGTAATGTAAGGAGAAGGTTTAGCACAATTCATAGATAACACGTCCAACTTTTATGGTTCTATTAACCTGGATTGGTTGCAAATAACTTTGACATGCTGAACTAAAGAAAGATTGGGCTGGTTCTCTGTGTCAACTTTTTTATTGAAAAGGTGTTAAAGGTGTTAGTCCGCTTCCCAGAATAGATTTGAGTAAGTATATACTGTCTATGTTGAGAAAGTATGTTGATCAAAGTCAATGATGTGTAGAAGTGAGGATTAAAAATTCAGAGCTTTGTGCTTTGAGCCTGAGACTTACTTTCTTCAGCCTGATTTGATGCTTCTGCCAGTGCAGCACCAGCAACTCTCTTGTGTGAAACACCTCTCCCAGCTCTGAACTCTCTGCAAGGCAGAGGGGGCTGAGAAGGACAGCAGTGCTGGGCTGCTGTCCATAGCTACTCTCCTGGACTGTAGTGTTTAGAGTTGACATCTGTGTGCTGTGGGCTCCTCCTGTGCCTCATCTGTACCCACGGCTGTTGCATGAGTTCAAGCTTACCAAGCTGAGGGTCTCAAACTGGATAACTCCTCTTATAAACTTGCATGAAGTTTTGTCTTATAGCAGTAATGTGACTGGTCTTGTTGCTGGCAGAAGTTTATCAGGTTATTGAGGCCTAACAAGGACATCTGAAGTATCTGAACTGCTTGACATATTCACAGAATCACAGAATGTGCTGAGTTGTAAGGGACCCACAGGGATCATGGAAGAACAGGACCACTCCCAAGAGTCATAAATGATCTGGATAAAATGAGAGGAAATTAAGTTATTGTTGAATAAACTAAGCCATTCAAGCATTCTAAAAGTGAAGGTTGCGTGAGAAGTTGCCAAAGAATCTTGTAAATTATAGAACTGAGCTGTAAAATAGCAAATCAAATTTATTTGAACTTTTACATAGTTATTTGTGATTTTTTTTTTTTTTTTGGTATGTGTCTCACTTCAGGATTTTGTGATTCTGGTCAGATACTAATTAGCACTAAAAAAAAATTTATGGCATTTCCAAGTCAAGAGTCTGGGTGTTTTAGACTTTCATTCCTGAAGGGCACGTGTATGTCAGGGAATAAAAATGATAGTGTATAAAGACCTAGTTATATTTACTGTAAAGCATTATGTGAAATGGCCGACTTGGCTCTAATGAGAACACTGAGTACATTCATCATTATTCCCATTATAAATTTCCATAACTTTTCTATTTGTAGACCACTTGATATCGTAATTTGTTCCTAGATCACGTCTGCTTTTTAATTTTACCAGGAAACACTTTCTAAAGAATGTCCTTGAATTACATTGTTCTATAGTTGATGGCCTTTTATGGTTCACTTGCTACGTTGTTTTATTTATTTTAAAATCCCACTGTAAATCCATTATTTCAAAGTGCCATGCATGTTTTCTGTTTTCTTTGAGTAACATGCATAAGACTTGCATTCCAACTGCAATAAGTTGTTGACTGAAAGTTTCAGTGTATGGGAATGGGACTTGTGCTTGGAGAGACAATGCTCAAGAGAAGAGGGTTAGAGAGCTCACTCCATCCTAACTAGGAGGCTAACATTGCCACTGGACTATATTTGTCAGAGATGAAGTTGACAACACTGTCATCTTTGGGTGAACTAACACGTTTAATGGCTGGTGGCTTAAAGGATTTTTCAAAAAGGTCCACTTATTTTCTTGTTATTTTACATGGCTGGTAAAATAAAAATTCTGAAAAATAGGTAAGGTATTAATTGAATGTGCTTTGCATTGCTGAAGATTACAGTCATCATGTGTATAAGTACTAAGTAATTTGAAAAAAAATTGACAATGCAAGTTTTCAACAGAGTTGAGAGAATTTGTCCTAAGGGCTAGGCTTCCTTATTATTTTTAGGAAGTATGCAGAATCTTCTGCACTCTAACAAATTACTAAGCTTTCTTTATGATTTTTGGGTTGCTTATTTTTCCTTTAGGTAATTCATAACTACTGTGTGGACAGTAAGGGCCAGTGATATTTTTGTGGTAGGCTTTGTCTAGAGCACTCTCCTTGAAGCTGAGGAAAGCTGAGCCTGTAAACAGGGGAGGAAAATGTAGAGTTAAGGTATGTAACGCTCAGGGGTATTGTATCTGAAATTGTGCCTCTAGACCATGGCAGTCTCGGTTCTGGTTTGTCATGTAGTAGACAGAACTGTGCTTAAGTCCACCTAGTGCCTAGGTGCAATGCATTTGGAAAAAATCCTCATGTTGGATTCCACTCAAGATTCTAGTTAAATCTGAAGCTTAGTGGTGGGCATGATAATTTGCAATTATAGTAGAGTTAACTCTTAGCAATACAAATCAGAATGGCAATTCTTTTAGCACACCGGAGGTCCACATAAAAATTCATAAAGATGTGTCAGTTTTGGCTTATGAAGTTCCCTTAAAAATCCAAAATTCCTATATAGTTGAAAACTTGCAAATAATTTTTTTTTTTTCTGGGAACTGTAATCTCAGAGAAAAAAAAACATAAGTTTGCAAGCCCTACATATAAATTTCATGGTTGTGTTGACATATGTACTGGGGGTTAAGGAAACACTTCTTACAATATCTGTCATTTTTCACAATCATGGAATTTGGTGCTTTTTGGCACCGTTGCAGATAAGAGCTGTAGAGAAGCCCTAAAAAACTTTTAGGAGGCAAAGGAGAGTGTGTTCCTGAATAGCTGTATAAAAAGGGAGCCAACAGAAGAACTTGGGATTCAGGAATGTAGTGGCATTAAAGGCTGTAGTGCAGATTGTCATATTAGAAATTCTTGTAGTTCTCCAAAATTTTTCCAAAAGTTTCTTCTCATTTGTATGGGAGATCATGTATTCTGTTCCCAGAAACTAGAATAGCAAAACACCCCCTTTGGTAGTCAGAGTCTAAGTTGTTATTTGGAGCCTGTGGAAATTTCAGCTGTGGTTTCCATCAACAAGAGAACCCTTAAGGTAAACATAAAAGACTGATCACTCGTAGTGCATGTGAGGAGCCTTGTAGTGCATTTCAAGAAAATGTATGAACTGTATTCCAAAAAAAAATAAACTAAATGTTTCTCTGTCTTATGAAATGATTTGATTTTTCTAATTTTTGGAATGGTTGAACTATGGAGAGGTTTTTTTTTTTAATTGGAGAAAGCTTATTGTAGCTTTTTGTGAAAAAAAGAAAAACTGTATTATAGCCTGCACTATCTTATGAAAAACAGGAAATAATCAAACATCCCTTCTCTTGTTTTCGAGAGAAGCCATTGATTTGAACATGACAGAAGAAAATCCATCCAAAACTATTAATATCTTGTGAAAGAGAAAAAAATCTTTCCATGTCATTGTGTCCATTTTTAGTAAAATGAAAGATATTATTGGGTACTAAAGTTAGCACTGAGGCACATGAATATACGTATAAATGACAATATGTTGTTCAAATGTACAGATAACTCCTTTAACTTGCAGAGCAGTTTGGCAAGTTTATTCAAATATTTTTTAATAGAGTTAATATCACAGGTTCAAATCTAAGTTAGGTGACATGTCCAAAACTTGACTTAATTAAGTAGAGGGCAGAAATACAAATAGCACATCAGTAGTCTGTTTCACAGTGGGGTATAATGATGATACAAGGGTATTCCTCAATTGGTCCAGTTAAACAGATCAGAAAATTTTGTAAGTCCTACTTTAAAAATATATTCCAACTACTTTGGGTTTTTTGTGGGGATTTTTTTGTTTGTTTGTTTTGTTCTCCTAGTTTGAGCTCTGACTTTTATCTTGCTGCTTTTTTACTGTTTCAATCTGTAATTGAATCCGATGTATGGCCATTGTAACACGGACACCTGGGTCTGCACTGTATTGGTTGGACTGAGACCCAGATTGTAGAGTACTGAGGTATTTTTAGTCTCATTTAATGTCACCAAACCGGAACACTTCACCTGGTGGTCAATAGCAGCCCACTTGATCTGCTCTCACCATGTGCTACTACGAACTGGCAGAAAGGCCTCTGCAGAAATCAATTGCTGTCATGCTGAGCAAGAGGTGTGTCGAGCATCCCATAAGAGAGCTGTGTGCTCTCCCACAGGCTTTGTGTCTTTTTTAGGTGTTTGGAAGTGCTCTTTGCCCCCTCAGGACTTCACATCCATAATGTGAAGTGTGATAGTGTGAACCATGCAGCCCTGTTTTAAGCTGAAGTCGAAGTGCTGTCTTGCTTGACATCTGTGTAGGACAGTGTGTAAGGAGTGTTTTATACCTATGCTTTGTGTTCTGAAGCAGCTCTCCGTTTTCCACTGAGTAGCATCAAGTGACTCATATGGCCTACTTACATTCTCCCTCACAGACAGTGCAATATTATCTTGTCCCAAGCCTTGTGTTTCCTCATCTCCACAGAAGCTAGACTTTCTCTGTCCCTCTTTCTGCAATCCTCAGAGGTAATTTCTTTCAAGCTGCAGGGCTGAACCTCCTTATTTCTTTGAAGTGGGACAAATGACATTTGTAGATTAAATGTGTTCGCCAGGTATTTCACAACAGACATGATGGACAGCCACTATTGTTCTGAAATTAAAATTGGATTAAATCATATTTTTATACCCAGGCTAATTTTTACTGCTTACGAAAAATCATAGACATTTCCTGATTTAAATGGCCAACTCTTGAATAAGCCAGGAATTTGAGCTGGTATGGAATTAAGATACTCAACATCAACAGCACTTTCTATTCTCAGTAGAAGCAAAAATGCAAACAAAGCCAGACAACTTTTCAAAAATAATTAAGTGTTTCTATTTTGAGTCAGTTAGCTGTAGGAAGAATGAGGAAAAGAGTGGCAGCAGTAAAGAAAATTATTTAAAAGTACTTGGTTTATGTATATAAATAAGTAAAAATATATATGTTTGTAAACCTGCTCTCTCTTACCTGGGAACCAGAATCTATCCTAAAGCACCACTGAAATATTCTCTAATGCCATTCTTCACTAAAAAGGAATTCTTCACCTCAGTAAGGAGTGTGTGTTTGGGCCATAGAACTACCTGTGTTCTGCAGAGTGTTGAAAATCCCAAATAATTCAGAAGTTGTTTTGCAGACGTGAGAATGGTGGCAGCAGCAATATAGTGTGATGAAGCTGGATGGGAAAACTCTTTGATTTCTCATAGATTTCAAGCTACTTTGGATCAAATCTTTGCCACAGAACATCCTGACGCTAAAGTGTGGCTGCTCTTGGTAGCAGATTATGGCAGTGAAATTGCTAGTTAAAGAGTAAGCATGCTCCAGTTGTGAGATTTCTCCTTTGTTGTGGTTGTAACCTATTTTGGGTAGAGGTTAAACAAAGCTGGGAAAAAAAAATTTTGTCCCTCAGCCCACAAAATTGGTTTTGCCAAACAAACAACAGAATTCAACTTCTGCCTTCTCAGCATTTTGCTTCCTAAAGGGCTACATAAACCAATTTGCTTTGCAAAAGAAAGATGATAGCGAATCATATCGATATACTTTTTATAATGTTACCCATAAACTCATTGGCTTATTGCATATACTTCAATACAAGTACATTTAGTTCTGCCTACTCATACCCAAATACACTCATACCCATTTAAGTGAATTGTAATTCAGTGGGTAATGAATTCATTTACTTGGAATTCAGTACAGTCGACTTTTGATCATATTTTCCTATCAGTAAAATCCTATTTAATGACATTCCTAGGTAGCTGCATTAGGGCAGTTTGAGCATCACAGGAGACAGTATTTATTTCAGGACAAACATCCTTAGGTATCTCTCTCTCTCTCCCTGAAATTCAATTAAATTGTGAATTCGCCTGAGGAGTCCTTGAAATTCAGAAGTTCAAGAATTAATAAAGGGTTTAGCTGCTAAGCCTTATCCTAGAGTGTTTTTTTGGATACTTTTTGTCCCTTTAAATTTAGGAAAGCTGAATTCCTTTGGGCACGGCTAGATGGAGCCATCTCCTGGCCAGACAGTACAGAAAACTTGATTGAATATGAGTTTGTCCTAACTCCTCTCCCAGCAATTAACTTTGTTCCGAGTAAATTAAGTATAAACCGTGAAGGAAATTCTTCCTGCAGACTGGTAGAGTTAGATTCCAGGTTCAGTTTATAAACATAACACGCCAAAAATTAAAATCCAAGTGGATGCTTTCTATGATACTTTCTTGTACATGAAGATGAACCACCAAACAGTGGTGGTTCATTTCTGATATTTTGTTTATCTTGTGCTGTGACAAACTCAGCCCATTGGTGGTTGGCTGTCTTCTATTCCAGATAAAGCCCTGTCTTCTACTTTTTCCCGGGATTGCAAAAGTGTCAAAGTATATCCATTTTTACAATGTGGATTCATCTCTTGGATAGTTGAGTAAACCATTGCAGCTCAATGTATTTTATTGATGATAAAAGGTCTAATTGATGTGAAAATAACAAAATTTCTGTCTGTGAGGGCTTCCATAAGAAGATAGCCATCTGTAAATTTTTTTGTTATTTGCAGGTAACCTCTATGATAATAAAACTAGGTAATAGCATTATTCTCCATGCGAGTTAGTCTTGTTAATGTAAGAAGATGCTTGATATTTTGGGGCCAATTTTTCTTTGACTGTTTTAGTAGAGGATGCAGATACATAAAGCAACGTTATGTACCCATACAGGCTACTTCAATGTGTCAGAATAGGTTTTACTGTGGAGTCTCCTCAGTTCTGGGCAGATATGCACTTAAACCACTATTTGCAGCAGCCCAAACCAGAAGTCTGATTTTATTTGTTGTAACAGAGATGAATTGAAAGTTTAATGTTCCTGTTTTATTATACTGCAAGATGTGAAATATGAATTATTTCATATTGTCAAGAGCTCTGGAAGAACATAACTTTTTTTGTGTGGAGATAAGACATCTGTTCTCTATAGCTGTATGATACCTGAAAGCCCCATTACAGACAAGAAGTTTATCCTTTTTTTCTTTAACACTGAACAGAAGTGACTGGTGATTATGGCAGTGGGATTCAAAAAAGCTGCCTTCAGCTGACATCTATTTTATACACCTTTTTTTTTTTTTTGAGTATGATCAGTTCAGCTCTAGTCCCTGTGCCCTGGTTTCCCTCTGCAAAATGGAGATGATAATGTTTGCCTACCCAACAGGGACACTTGTTAATGCAGGTGTTAGTCTTTTTTCACTAAGGCTAAAAGTTTGAGATGTTTTAAAGTCCTTGTAAAACAGCTTTCTCAGGGTATGAACACATTACAGCCAGAGTAATACTTAAAATCTGATACAGCATGGTTATTTGGAGCTGGTGGGAAGTCCTTTCTCTCAAGCTGCCCTCAATGATCTCTACCTTAAGGGATGATATCAGAAGTTGAATCAGTTTGATTCCATTTATTAATATTATGAATGATTAGCAATCATTGTCTAAAATTTGCATTCTTTGAATTTTGCTTTCAAGAGTGGATGAATTTTTATTATCATTATTCAAATACAACAAAACATTTTGCTAGGAATTTTTGCCTGGGTAAGAAAAGAGAAGTTTTAAGAAATGCAACTTTTCTAGGAAGATTAATTTTTAACAATCTTTGCACTTATAACTATTAAGTTTGGTTTAATTTTAACTGGTTTTTTTGGTTTTTTTTCAGGGGGATCAGACATTGAATACCTAGACTTTTATAAGCCAGTGGTGTGGTTCTGGATCCTTGTTGGACTTGCTTACTTTGCAGCTGTCCTCAGCATGATTGGAGACTGGCTAAGAGTCATATCAAAAAAGACAAAAGAAGAGGTAAGAACATTTTGAAAGGGGAAGAAATATTCCTTCGAAAAAACATTGATTAGAAATCACATGCTCTTATAGCTGCTTTTGCTCCTAGAATGCATAGGTCAAAGTTGTTTATGTATAAAGTATATGCTGCATCTCAAACTGCCTCAAACTTTGTAGCATATAGTGATTTATTTTCAAATGCCTGCATATAAAAAAAGGTTAAATGTACCAATAAATTAAGTGTATATGCACACTTGCACCCTACTTATGGGGAAAAAAATCTCAAAAACTCCTATCCAGGCAGTAGAATATAGACCTTAATTTTTGAGGCAAAACTCATTCTGCTTTGTTTCTATAGGGGACGCAGGTATGTAAAGAAAAGTAATAAATCCCTAAATAGTTATATTTGAGATTCCTTCTATCATTTTATAGCAGTAAGAAAATAAATGTTTCATCTCATGCAAGGTATTTAAATGAATTATTTAAATATACCTGGATATATTTTATCATGACATCTTCAGCAGCATCCCTAATTATTTGTAGTCAGGTACATTGCTTTTAATTCAAACATATTTTGACTTGTAAATGTGTATTTATTATTCCACTGATGCTACAATATTTTACTTTAAATTTTGTCACTTAAGGAAGTGTTCTGTTTTTGAAAATGTTAGACGGTAAATGAAATTCTTTTCATTGTAGAGCGCATGGTCCAGATTCTACTAGAAGTTTGAGAAATAAATTTTGTTTGCAGCAACACATTATTTCCCTCTAATTTAACTTCAGTTCCTTTGCACGCATCAGTTCATTTATGCTACTCAAACATAAAAACTCTAATCTGTTTTTGATGGAATGAATATGCTGGCTACTGTGCAGTGGCCTACTACTTACATCGTTTTAAATTGTTTTCCTAGCTGTAGGGCATGGCATCAATGCCTATATGTGTTCCTGACAACCCTTGAGTTCCCAAAGACCTTGCTGTAAAGGGTAGCTTACTCCTGTATACCTTCACTCCCTACACACCCTCAGGGTGCCTGCCATCTTCTGAGCAGGGCGCAGTTGTGATGCTGGCAACAGACAGGAGGATGTGTGGTCTGGGCACTAGGGAAGGATTAAGCCCACTTTGTGTGGTGGGCAGCCCTTTTTCATTGCCCTTGTTGTGCTCTTGGCTCTTTGTAGTTAGAGGCAGTGTCATGGCAGGTCTGTTGTAAGCATGCTTACATGCCAGGCAATTCATAAGCACTTAGCGCTGCAGCAGAGAACAATATTTATTTGATCGGTTTCATTTCAAGAGTATCATCTTTTGCCCCATGCTGTAAATGTCAAAGGATATTTATGACTTTCCCTGCACAATGAGCTTTACTAGTGTACTTCTCAGGTAGAGAGCAGCAGGTATCACACAAGTGTCCCCATTTGCAAGTTCAACAGCTTGCAGGATCACCGTTTTGTTTTCTGGAAAAGCACTGGGGGTGTCCCTAACAGCTAACCTACATGACTCACACTGACTGCAGGGAAACCGACAGATTACGTCCAATGCCAGTAACCCGAATGGTTTTGTTTTGTTATTTTGAACTTCAGATGGAGGTTGGTCTGGCCCATTTTCCCCTCTGCACCAGGAAGAAGAATGGGGCAAACACATGTGGTGCTTCCCCTATGCACTCTCCTAGCGTCTAACTGTTCTCAACTTGGGGCTTTTCCTAAATTGTCTTTAGTTTCCCTTGGTTAGTTTTTTTTAAGATGTTTTAAAAAAATACAATATGACTGAGGCACTGTGACTAGGGACTATGCAGAAATATCTTGTTCAGGATTGTTTTTGCTGTATTATCTCAGACTCTGTTGATACATTTTAGTTCTTCTTACTATTTCCTAGAATTACTCTAGTCTTTCATCTCAGTTTTCTCATATTCTTTTCTGTTACCCAGACAGCATATTATCCAAAGATATTAGTATCTTCACTATATAGTTATTCATAGCCCACTGAGGTTTTAATCTTACAGTGATGATAATATACTAAGATTGTTTGACTTTTGTAATATCTTGTGAAACTATTTCAATGGAGACTAACTTTGGAAAAGATTTATAGAAACATGAATTGAACAAACTAATGTATTCCTCTAACACATCAAAGACATTCCTATTTCTGCCAAGTAAAATTCTGTTTGCCAGGATATGCGGCACAGTGCAATGCTGAGCTTTCTTTTCTCAGGCACTGGGAATGTATACCCTGTTTTATCTTTCCATTCTTTCTCACCTTTATAGCCTAAACAAGCATATTCATTTTGTCTACAAAAAGGAAAACCTCATTCTTCAGATATATCCAAGTTCTCTTGGCTGATGCAGGTATTTGGGATTCTGCTATATACAAGTCTCATGCGTGTTAGATTAGATTAAAGGCAGATATAACATAATTGGTACCATTTGTCAATTAATCATATCTCTAACATTCAGAAGTATCCCACCCCCCCTACTTCTTCACCCATTGCTCAGGCATATTTGAGAATTCATAACAGAAATAAAATGCTTTAGCACTTTAAAAATGCTACAGTTTTTAAAACGGTAGAGACTAATTTGAGAACTGAATTTTGGCATAAGCTGTGTGCTAGTTAGAAAATACAAAAGATAATTTCTGTGTTCTAATGATACTTTTAGGGAGAAAGTGATATAAATATATTAAATTTTGTTTAAGATTTGTTTGAACAGAAGTATTATACAAATATTTACAGATTTCATTTTATGATAAAAGCTGCTGCTCTTAGCTCATCCTTGGGATCTGCCTAGGAAAATGTGAGTGAAGAAGCTGAGGGAGCTTAGTTGAAATGCAGTCATCAAGTCTCCTCTATACCAGCAGAAGTCAGAGGAGACTCTGAATTTCTTGTACTGTCTGTTTTTTCAATTAAACCTAAATTTACAGTTGACTGTTCCACTTTCTGTGAGCACAGATTATAGCGGGGGAATCTATCTGCAATTCCAGTCGAAATGAGTGCAATGAAACCCTTGTTCTGAGTATGTTTTTTTAAAACTCTCTTAGGGAAACATTATGTCAGTCCTTGGGGAAATAGCTCAATATACCTAAAGGTAGCCTTTGAAGTTAGAAACAATGTATATACTGAAATCTATTGAGAGACCGAAGCTAAGATAAAATCAACAGAACGATTACTAATGCACTCTGAAAACTGAAACAGTTTAACATATTTTCTAGGTAATAGGCTGCTGAAGGTCTTCCTTCATGAAATTTACTCACTATGGATATCAACACCTACAAGAACACAAGATTTTGTGTAGGACTTGTATCATACTGTCCATGAAAAAAATAGTAGTCTAGCATGTTTTAGATACAGGTGGGAGCAGATAATTCAGTAGTGATCAATTGTATTGGTTTCAGCAGTCTAAAGCCAAGCAGCCAAGTCTTAGTGAATGCTTTTAGAGTCCAGGACGAAGACAGAGAGGTTTTAAGTGTTGAAAAGACCCTCTTTACTTTCCCTCAGCAAGTAAAACTATGTATCAACAGAGCTTATATCTCTTTTGATAGGCAGCCATGACGGGGAAACATCAGGCTGGAGTCCAGTCACTAGTGAGGTTCTGCAGGGCTCCATCTTAGGCCCAGTTCTCTTCAGCATTTTCATTAATGACTTGGGTGCAAGGCTCGAAGAAATACTAAGTTTACTGATGATACTGAATTCTGAGGAGTTGTTGACTCCCCCGAGGGCAGAGAGACCCTACAGAGAGACCTTGACAAATCAGAGAGATGGGCAGTCTCCAACCATATGAAGTTCAACAAAGGAAAGTGCCAGATTTGCACCTGCAATGGGACAACCATGGATGTACAGATAGACTGGGAAATGAGACACTGGAAAGCAGTGCCACAGAAAGGGACCTGGGGGTCCTGGTGAATGGCAAGTTGAATATGAGTCAGCAGTGCTCTGACAGCCAGAAGGGCCAACGGTGTACTGGGGGGCATCAGGCACAGCATCACCAGCCAGTCAAAGGAGAGGATTGTCCTGCTCTGCTCTGCACTGCGGCGGCCTCACCTTGAATATTGTGTGCAGGTTTGGGCAACCCAGTGTAAGAAAGATATAAAGCTATTAGACAGTAACCAAAGAGGGGTCAGAAGAATGGTGAAAGGGCTAGAGGGGAAGCCATTTGCAGAGTGGCTGAGGTCACTTGGTCTGTTCAGCCTGGAGAAGAGGAGACTGAGAGGAGACCTCATTGTGGTCTTCAGCATCCTCATAAGGGGAAGAGGAGGGGCAGGCACTGATCTCTTCACTCTTGTGACTAGTGACAGGACTCAAGGAAATAGCATGAAGCTGAGTCAGGGGAGGTTTAGGTTAGATATCAGGAAGAGATTTCCCCAGAGGGTGGCTGGGCACTTGAACAGTCTCCCCAAGGAAGTGGTCACAACACCAAGCCTGAATTACAGAAGCATTTGGACTACACTCTCAGACACGTGGTCTAATTCTTGGGGTGTCCCACATAGGGCCAAGAGTTGGTCTCAAGGATCCCAATGGCTCATTTCCAACTCAGCATATTCTATGATTCTAAGATCTCTTTTTTTGCTTTTCCTGTAGTCTTGGATAAAAAGTACTGATGAATAAATAAATATCATAGCATATTTAGGGCATGAAAGGAAATCCCCCTTATTCCAGGGAGAGAGCATGCTGTTAATTAATATCAATTAATATCTATAGTTCTATTTGTATTTTTTAATGCAGTTGTATTGATCTTAAAAGCAGTATAATGTATTTCACTGTTTCAACAAAGTAGAACATCTATCTTTTTTCAGGATACTAGCAGGAAAGCTTGCCATATGCAAGACAAATATGATCAGATATACACTACTGCACAACAATGCTGTATTTTGATAATAAAATCCAGATAACCAATATGTCAGTCAGTTGCTCAGGTGACTTTTGTCTTCTGAAATACTCTTGAGAGTTTTGTATGCATCAAATGGGAAGGGAGGTGTAAGACAAATAGAGACAGAAGTATGAGTTTTAGAAGGATAGATCTGCTACTGGAAGCAGTTC